TTGTGGGCCAATATAAATTACATAAAATGCTGAGAAAATGAATTGAAAAGCGTCATGCATCTCGACTTTTTGGCTCCCGCCAAAAAACAGAGCAATTATGGATTTCAACAACATTCGCTCGGGTTCAAGTTGAGCGTTTTTCAAAATTCCGATGACACTCTCAGTTGATTTGGAATGTGGAACTGTTCGAATATTTTTGCGATCGATAGCAATGACTCCAAGGGTGCTGAGGGAAGGGTCGATGTGTGTTCGTGTTTGGTCAGAATGCGAAAGAGTGTGCTGATCTTTGTGGAGCCGGTTGGCGCAAAAATGATTGCAGTCCCCCCCCCCCCCGCTCGATGATGAACACACACACATAGACATACACCCCGCAAGAACACTCGTTTTCTGCGCTTGTTTGTTTACATGAGGGCTTATCGAAGAGATTTCTGAGACTGATGAAGAGCAAAGAAGCACGAGGAGGAGAAGCAGCAGAGCGAAGCTGCTGCCATTTGTTGACCGAGACAATTTTTCGGTGAACTGATAGTGCTGATAAGCACTCTGTTTGTCGGAAAACATCTGAGATGCATCATGGAATCCACCGGTTCCAGCGAGTGCTGACTAGCCGAAACGCAAAATTTGGGACGCGTCTGGTCGGAGAGGAACCGATCGCACTCACCATTAGAGAACAATTTTCCATTTCGCTAGGCGCAAAAACAAGTGCGAAATGGATGCGGGTCAACTGGTGTTTTTTCCGCTCGCAAAGGGGAAATGGGGGTAATTTTGATGGGGGCCATACAGAATAAATTAGTGCTCATGGGCAGAATATCTATGGCTTTGCATTTGGTTGACCTTCACTCGAAGCTACTGTACAACAAGTTCTTATTCATTGATTTATTCATCCAAAAATATTTTCTTCTGATACGGTTGATGACGCGCCGCACTACAACTTAGCGACCTGTCTTGCAGAGGCGGTCCTGATTTTTTCGATAAGAAGGAAGGTGGGGGGGGGGTAACCGGGTTTCTTCCGAGCAAGAGAGCGTAGCGACCCAAAGTAAAGAATTCTCTTCGAAGACCTATCCGAAATTTTCGCCGTGCCATAATCCCGAAATTCCGGAGAAAGGATCTGGCGGTGACTTCGAATTCGCTAAGATTACCTTCACGAACAAAAGCAACTAATTTCAAAATGGAAGTAAGCTATTAGCACAAATCTAGTACTCCGGACATGAAAATGAAAATAAAACAAAACTCTATCTATAGTTTCGGTCTTGTTCTCGATGAAGTTATTAGTTAATAGTTATATGAAATGAATGTAAATGTTCATGCTTCGATATAGTGAAGGAGACGACCGAACAAGAAGTTTTATGTCATTTTTGCGTCCGACGTCAACATGTTTGTTTTTTCAAATAGTACAAGACGGTTGGTGTTGACTGAGGGTCGACCAGGTGAAGAGAGCTACAAAGATGAGGAATCAAGCACTAAAAGAAGGGTTCTTGATTGTAGAGAATGTTCCTCTGCAGTTTTGACATTTTCATTTTCTCGTTCTTCCTTTTTCGCACGGTCGAACTCTGACAAAATTTTGATTCATGGTTTTATAGGAAGACGTCTAATGTTTCCAACGTCAATGTTCTGTGAATGTCAAAGCTTGTGTAAGTCGTCTAGAAAAAGGGAAAGAATTTCCACGGTGGAAACTCACATTTCTTCCTCCTTAGTACCAATTTCTGGCATCAAACATAGAAAATTGTTTAGATCCTTGAACGATTTGTAGGAAGAGACTTTGGCTGCAAACACGTAGCTGCGCTCATATTCTGCTGTATACTATAATCACAGGCTCAAACTTCTCTCGAACTGCAGCTCTTTCCACAGCTTTAATTCTATGCATAGCTCGGTGCAACTGAAACCGGGGGTCGGGTTCAAGTAAATTAGGCTTGTAATTTATCTGACTGCAACATCAATAATTCTCATGTTTCGGGAAAAAGCGCTTAGTGTTCACATTCTTGGGCTTGTAAATGACTAGGGTTACTACGGTACACATGTCGCAAAAAGTTTATATTTTCGCAATTTTTAGTGGCCCTACGTAAAGAAGAATATCTATTTTGGTAGAAGTTATGCGAAATCTGATTAACTCACAAAAATTTGCTGTTTTGAAGCGTGATAGAAGACGAAGCTGTGGTGTCAGCATTGAATAGTTAGTCAGCGGACCAAATCCGCTTTTGAAGAAATTTTTTAAAACTTGCAGAGGCTTTTTTTTGCATATGATATGACTTGGTCAAAGTTTCGCTTTCGACTTATCTCGAGTTCGTCATATCATAGAGTTTGTCCCAGTCTTAATCAGGCCGAATACAGGCGGGAGTCGCGTAAGGTATTGCGCAGGGCCTGGCAGGCACAAATCGTCTGGAAGCAGGCTGGATTTCGTTTTTGGAGCAAAAAGCAAAGGGGATATCGTTTTTGCGGAGTCGGGGCTGAGCACCAAGGATAAGCGCCATTTAGTCGATCACAAGCTTTTCGGACAGGTTATCACACGATTGACACGCTCTATCGTGTATGGCGAAAAGTGCGCACGATTTGAAAGCAAGGTTAAATTAACACATTGCTTGTTTACAGCGCACACGAAATCATATGACACCAAAATTAAACTGTATGCATAGAATATTATTTGCAAAAAAATTATGCAAAAAGATTTGAAAACTTATGTGAAGTACTACCTATTCCAAAAGTCTCCAGACGGTCACCAGACGATTTGAGATCGTCTGAAGCATATATTAGGTTGATGCAAAAATAATGCCCGTTTTGCGAATTTCCATTTTGACGTACCATAGCTTTCTAAAAAATTCACATTTCTGAATGCGGTAAGGCTGCGTACATACTGATTCCGAAGTTCGGGAACAGTTCCAGCGACCTAAGCGCTGTGCTGGAAATGTTCCCGAACTTCAAGATCGGTATGGATGCAGCCTAAAGACCATCAGAAGCAGCAATCCTTTCGCAATACAGCGCACACCTATCTATACTCACACCATAAGCGGGAAGAAAAATACGGACTAAAAGACAAAAAAGTTTTTTCGTCAAATCTTGTATTTGACAATTCATAACTTCCTTCAAGATTTGTTATTATGAATAGTAAGTGGCGGGTGGCGGTCAAGATGAACGATAGCATGTGCCAGCCGCCAGCTGGGTACCGTACGCGGTGCGCTGATCGCTCCGCCCCCTTGTTAATTAGCCTAGGAATGCGTTGCAGCTATTGGAAAATTCTCTAATACTTCATGCTTCTTCATTGGTTGCAATTTGGGTAACAGTAGATTTCAAAATTTCAGTTAAATTGAAAATCAGTTTTCAGATAATTTTTCATTAAAAATTAGTTCGCAAGCTCTTTCTAATGCATTTCAATTATTTGTTCCTAGTAGGCTTGTCCAAAATTTTTTCGAAAATGCTTGGAAAAGTGTTTTTCTCTATTCACATCTGTCATATTACATAAATCTTCTCAGATTTCAGGAAAATCATACTGCTTATAAATATTCAAATCCGTTTAAATATCAAAATTCTTTTATTTTGCTTACAGAAACTGCTATTCCCAATATAAATCGATCTGTAACTTAATCGAAATTGCGTGCGAACTAGTCCTAAGATGTGAGGTCACTCAAACAATCATGCCTGAGGTGTTCTAGATTGATTTCACACTTCAAAGTTGGATATCCAGGAGTCACTCGGTCATTCCCTAGAATCAGCAAATCTCTCGATTTCACGACCAACACATCTGCTGTTCATTGATTGCCAAAAAAAATCAAAACAAGATTTTGTAAATAGTCAAGCTTCACCCCAGCTTGCAACAAGCTTATATCTCACTATCAAAAGTTATTTTTACTTGACATATCGTCCGAGAAACTCGTCCGCCGCAGTAGGGCGGAGCTTCGAACGAACACGTTATTGCCAGTTCATGACCCCGCGCGCCACTGGTACCATCTATCGTTCATCTTGACATATACCCGTAAGTGGCCCATCTTGCAGCCGCAAGCCTGTAGTACAAAATACGATAAAAAGGGTTTGGAGAAAAAATCTACGGAAAGGAAAGAAATTAAAATTCAAAATTGTCATTTTCTTTTTCGATGGTTCAGCGGCCCTCGAACACGCCAAACCAAACAACCAAGCGAACCAACAGTTTATTGGTGGCGATTACCTCAAACTTGGGTAATTAAACCCTCGTCATTCTTCTTTTTCAAATAAAATCATAAAAATGCAAGAGATAAAAACACACAAAGAAATGGTCAAAACGATGAAAATGAATCTCGCGTTGTTGCCGTCCTCGTCGTTTTATACGTGTTGTTCTTTTCGCGCACTGCCTCAGCACTCTGTAATAGATGAATGTTAAGATAAGATATCTGTGTGAAAAAAGAGTACGGTAGAAATCGCGCTTAAAGCCGCGATACTGCCGCCCCACCTGTGTTTTCGTCTGGATAGTTGAGTTCATTTTTGAGGCGCTCGAGCTTGTTTAGACCGCGACGAAGTGCGTTTTTTGCGCGGACGAGTCTTCCGTAGTTGATTTTGCTTTCCTCCGAAAGTGTACAAATCGCCAAATGATGGCCGTGTCTACGGCAATGAAAACATAGCGTAGACCATCTTCTGCAGTCTCGGTTGCCCGGGCACAACACCTCCAAACAGAATATCACATTTCCTTTCCTCTCTGAGGATGCGCAACCGGCTTTCCACTTCTTGAACTTCTGGGCATGAATCGGAGTAGTGACGTCCGACCGCCTTCAAAAGACACATCTCATGTGCCTTTCGAACTCTGTGTTTATGAGCCCGTGCTGGAATCTTCGCGGAGCACATCATGATCTTCGTTCTGACTCGTCAATTAGTATTTTCCAGTCATTCACCTCTTGCTCCACCCGGCGAATTTCGAGGCGCAACTCTTGGCTTTTATTTGATTCAAATTTACTTCTTCATTATTATCTTCTTCCACAGGTTCTACAAGAGGCTCTTCGCTTTCGGGTGAGTTGCTCTTTTTCCCTGCCCGAGCTTCTGCGTGGTTAATAGAGCCACATTTGCATTGCTTCCCCACCGCATCGCGAGGCACGGTTCTTGGTTTTTGGCTTGATTTCATTCACTTTGCTCCTCCTCTTCTTCGTCCATAACCTCCACAAAACGTTCTTCGTCCTCGTCGTGTAGTCGCGTATCTCGTTCACCTCGTTAAAGACTTCAGTGACTTCCACGACGAGTTGTTCCGCTTGTGTAACATGTTGTACCACGTCCTCCGGCCCCACTTGTGGAATGGCCTGTTCTAGGTCTTCTGAACGTGCACGTGCTCGGAGGCTGTTTCCGTATCTTCAAAGGTTTCTTTTCTCCTGCTCACACCGCATTCTGATTCGCCGCTTTCGGACTGTTGGTGGTATCTTTTCGGTGTGCACTCTTTTTCATCGCCCTCTGAGTGTTGGTATGCTCTTTCGCAGGCGTGGAATTTTGTTCGGCACTTCCTGATTCTGATATTTGTAATGTTCCCACCGAATGTGTTTCGATTTCTCGCTATCTCTTCTATTTGGACTACGCTCCTGTTTCTCCATGTTCTGGCTGTCAGTTCTTGGTAAAAACATGGAAGTTTTCGTTTTCTTGATTTCTAGTCAATAAAAAATTACGGAAACAGCACATATGAGTGCCTGATGTAGAGTTTATAGTGTGAGTGAGGAGAATTGTAAGACAATTTTGAACAAAGATATAAACAATTTTCAATTTTCTGGGCATCCGAATCTTTTTAGATTTTGGTCTTAACTCTCTTGGGGTGGATTGAAGCTGTTGCAAAGGAATCGACGCCATCTCATAGAGCTTGCTTTGCTCCATTGAATGAAATCCTGATGTTTATTTAGAACAAGAAGTGTATGGCTTATTAGGCTCTGAAAAAGGCGAGTTTGTCGAAACATTAGCCTGTATTTTGTGCTATAAGAATCTGTAAGTTTTGAACTTCTACATAAAAGCCAATGCAAAGCATCCTAGCGAAGCTTTCTTTCTGGATAAGTTGGATACTCTTCACCTTCCTCTATGAATCGGACGTGTGCTAGTGTAGTCCTTGATGAGCTCTGAATAAAGTATTTTTAAGTGTTCAAATTGCTTGTGTTTTAAGATTGTTTTAGAAAAAAAACCCGGAAGAAAATTTTGCGTTTGAAAATCTGTTGTACGCGACTTTGTGACGCGGGCATTCTGTACTTTTTTGGTAAAAGATTTCTAAATTTTCTAGAACACATGTCCTTCACAGAGCATAGTAATGTAAATTGTAACTCTTAAAGAGCTCTATCATCTCATGCAGTTGTCGCAAAAGTTTTGTCGCTTTTTTCAAATGACTATAAAACTACGCACAATAAGGCCGGAGTTAGTTTTAACACGTTTCGGACCGGTGCTGCACATGGTGCAGCACGCTGCTTTAAAGGATCTTTTTCACGTCTACAGGAGGTTTTCTTTTAGTTTAAGGTTATCAAGTCAAAGGTCTAAGCTCCTACTTTCCAAATGATTTTGTAGAGCTGTGCCGCCGATATTTATTTAGAAGATATGAGGACAATTCGAACAATAGTTGCAACGAAGTGCGGCAATGCGAACGGCGCGTGCGACGTCGCAACTTTCCTCTGCTTCGAATTCAAAGAGAAAAACCATAGTTTCAATACTGATGTGTACCATGTGCTACATACAGTCGAGTAGATTTCCTGCTTAATATAGTGTCCCTGCAGACGCGACAACGCTGGGACGTCAATAAATGCCTTGCGAGTTCCCGAGCTAGTGTTTTCCAGTGTTTTCTTTGCTTATTCTGTGCTTTTTAGGTGATTCGTTGATGATAAAGAAGAAAAGGGTAAGTTAGAGTGTAGTTTTTGTTTTCTGAGAAGTTCTATCATCGCATATTCACAGATATCCACGTGGAAGCACTTCGCGTCAGCTTCTTGTCTATTTTTTGTCACTTCATGTCTCTTTCTTCTTGTAAGGTACTTCTTTGAACGCTAGTGGGTTTTTACGATTGACTTATTGTCTTTATCACATGAAGTACTTGATTAAAATGCTATTTCTTATGGATGAAAGCCGAAGTTGCTGCAAGACAAGCCAATTAGCGAACTTCTCAGAAAACAGAAACTACTCTTTAACTTACCCTTTTCCTCTTTATCAGCAACGAGTCAACTAAAAAGCATGAAATAAGCAAAAAAACACTGGAAAACACTAGCTCGGGAACTCGCAAGGCATTTATTGACGCCCCAGCGTTGTCGCGTCTGCAGGGACACTATATTAAGCAGGAAATCTACTCGACTGAAGCACTTTTGGAACTTTAGGAACTGAGTTCTTGTTCTTGTCTTTCAAGAGAGCACAGAAGTTCTTCTGAATCAGCAAAATTCAAACACTTCAAATTCACTCAGAACTTTGGGTATGGATCTTATCTGACATGCTGATTACAGATGTATCACACAGTCTACGAACTGAGGTCCTTTTGTTGGCTAACGGCTGGAAGTGCCCTCTTTTTCGCCGCGCGCGATTTCGAGGTCCAAAACGTTTTAACATGCATTCGATGGAGCTTTTTATCTCTCTTCGTAATTATATTCAAATAAAAAAATCCTAAGTTTTTTGGTAAATGTCTAAATACTTCACCCGTCATTTTTATCAAAGTTCCAATAATCTCGAAAACCTTCAGAGTTTCGGAAAGGGTTAAGTAAACAAGTAAAAAAATAACAAACAGTCACAGATAAACCAAATCTCGGTGACGACTTTGGTTCTAATTTGCTGTTTTTTCAAAAAAATTCCTTCAAATTTTTCGATGTTTGGAAAAGTCATAAAACGCGGCTGCAGTAAAAACATGAAAGGTTCTTTCTGCCAGTTGAGATTTGATTATTATCAAACATTATCTGTGCGACATAGCCATGTTTGATTGCTATGAAGAAACAGCTATTTGAAGTTCTCGTTACTGAACTTGGACAAAGTCCGCGGTTTTTCCCAATTAAATAACTACGGACTTGATATACGCGGCCCATGAATCTAAAATGAGTATAGTGTAACCAAAGATTTGCTCCACATAACAACTTCTAACACTCTTTGAACGTATTGGTGTAAAAATTATCAAAATTCGGGTAAGATTTGCAGGGTCAAGAGGCGCGATTTCTCCAGAGGTCATCAGTTTAACAGCCCAGTCTAGAGCTAAGAGAGTTTTTTAAAGATATCAGACAAAGTGTTGTAGCTAAGTCAGTATCTAAAGTTTTACCATATACGAATTTGTAGACATTTGGTGAAAAATTGGTTGAAATTAGTTGCATTTTCGGTGTTTTTGACCTCCAGCGTTCATGTTCTAAATCTGTTTCATAATAATAAGATTGAGCTACCCATAATCATACAATCAATAATCAATCATACAATCAATCGACAATCATACATATTTTGCTGGAAATTTGAACTGCTTCCAGAACTTCATAAATACCAAAAATGCGCTAATTGGTGTCCATCGCGCAATAATCGCCCCTCTTGACATACACCCAAAAAATCAGAAAAATATTTTCGCGTTCGAAGAACTGTTGTACGCGACTTTGTGACGCGGCCACTTTGAACTTTTTTGGTAAAAGATTTTCAAATTTTCTAAGATTTATGTCCTTCACAAAGCATAATAATGTAGGTTGTAACTCTTTAGCTCTATCATCCCATGCAATCTGATCATTTTTCAATCCTGGTTTTTCATCTGAATAAGCGACGAAGAAAGGAGAGCGGCTTGTCCGCAACTTTTGGCTGTCACTGTACGTGTCTCCTGTGGAAATAGGCTCAAAGGCAGTGACTCGACATAACTGAACATCTTGTAACTTTGATACGAAAGGTTGGTTGCATCCCAAACATCAGAACAGAGCAGGTCCGGAGCACTACATGCTGTCTTTGCCTAGAAAACGGTCCCTGAACCCATGCGCGCAAGCCATTCTTACACGCGCTTGGACGAGCTTGCGTTCCCCCTCCCGCCGTCAGAGGCGGCATGCCGCAATGCTATAAACATGTACTCAGACATTCGCAGTTAAGTCCCGGCGGTGAAAAAGTTGTGTCCCGCCGGAATGACTGCGGGACACAAGTAAAATGGATTGCTAGAAAACCGGGACTCCCGGTTTCGTTCGGGCTAATGCTGCGCGACACGTGGTTTTGTCCCGACATGTATTCTACTGAGAGAACCGGGAGCTCCTGCGGGAGTCCCGATAATGTCGCGATCCGGTCACCGGCGGGACTTCCGCTCTAGGCTGCAGTCTCCTGCGGGAGACGCGATATAGCAGCGATCCAATCAGCTTCAGGCTGGCCTTTTCTCAAATAGGTTCTCCTTCCAAAATTTGTACTACACATCTACTATCTTACAAAGGTGCTGTGCTTGACACAAGTTCAGAAACACTCTTTATTAGCATTCGTGACCGAAAAAGAACATTGCATCATAACTAAGTTAACAGAAAAAAAAAACAGGAATGTCGAGATCAAGATTTGAGATTGAATCCATAATTCAAATCGACTTCACACTTTCGATGTCTTCGTCTTGTTCCTCCGGCTCATTCGCGTGCTCGTGCGCCCAAGAATCTTGCGTTGTAGGGCAAAAACGTTTTTTCTGGAAAAGAGTAACAATCTGACACTGATTTGAGAAATCATATATGAATATTACCGAGGGTGGCGACAGCATCTCCTTATCAGCATCAAAATGGTATGCTCGCACATCTCTGAACTTCAAATTTAAGAGATTCATGAAAACTATCTTTGAAAGAAACCCACAAAGCTCTTCCTATAGCCACTCGTGCTAATCCATTAAACTTCATGCTCGCCTCCGACAACTTGTCAAACATCTTCGTCGTAGCCTCATCGTCGTTCCCTAGGCCCAGCCAAAATCTGAATCAATGAAATATCAAGGAATAGAAACACTTCTATCTATACCTATTTCCTTTCCGCGCGCATTCGGTAGCACTCAGCAGCAGTTCTTCTGCGTAGAGGCCAACACCATCAAGAACGAAATCTGAAAGATCTATTTTAGAATTTTTAGAAAGACCATCAATCACTCACTTATCAAAAATGTAACCAGACTTTCGGGCAGGTTCTGCAGATGCGGAAATCTTCCCTTTTTACCAGATTGTCTGCGTGCAAACTTTTGGATTTCTCGTTTTGGCTCGCATGCCTAAGTGCGCCCCTCTCGATCAGGATAGACTCGAAATTTTAGTCTCACTTACATGCAAAATAGAGAACGTATAAAAATCCATCATCAAAAAATGGTCATTCTTGTGTGCCCTTGATGGCTGCGTCCAGTTCGGATAACTCGATTATGTTAGCATTCTGAAACAAAATCAAGTGCTGCTGTATCGATAACAACTACAATAGGTAACCTTGAATGGAGGAAATCCTTTGAATTTCCAAGACTTCGTGAGATTCTTTCGCTCAAATACATGTTCTTCCGGTAATGTAACTTCGTTGCCTTTCGCTATGTGATATGACGTTTTTCGTGATTGCTTACTATGTTCTTGCTGATTGGAAAGAATTGCGTCTATCTAAAGAACTGCATTTCACCCTCCGTTTCCCGCTGACTTCTGATTTCCTTCCTGCGTTAGAGCCCTTTGTCATTTTCGCGCTTTCCAGTGCGGATTTTCGGATTCAGCATAGCGTATAGGTCCGAGTAAGCACAAATCTCAAAATCGACGTTTCCGGACACTGCCTTTAAGAGTTACCTATTAGATTTTATCGGACGTATTATTCGAGGAACTTTTGCTGTGAGTAGCGGCACACGCTTAGATATAGAAAACTAAGCCATACAAGCTGAGACCAAACATAAACATATCCAACGATTCGAATGAGCATAGACGCCGAAGAAAAAGCACACTTACCTTCTGGGATTGTACGTTGTTCGGCAGATGCAGAGCAACAAGTTAGGATCCAGTCCCTGAGGTGGTGATTTGTCGAAGGAGTAATCTTCAGTCGAATGCTGAACGAATCAAATACAGATTTCTGGAAAAAAAGCATAACAGTAAGACCTACCGTGCTGACATGTTCCTGGTGATAGCGTTTCGGTGGACGACCTCCTTGTCGAACTTCTGAATCGGACGATGATGTATCCTCCAGTTCATGCTGCAACAATTGCTTTTCTGCTATCAAAAGCATGAAAGAAAAGCTTTTTACCCTTTTTTTGTGCTTTGGAGGTAAAGGAAGAGCGGGTCCTCTCTTTTATGGTTTCCAATCCGCGACCGCATTGGACTCGAGAGTTCCTTCTTGAACCTCATTTTTGATCTTCATCCAATTTCACTTCATCCTTCGCTTCCTAAAAATTCAAACACTGCAGAAATAGTGGAATTAGCCATCTAGTGACAGACTTTTATTACATATAGAAGATACGAACAAATCAATAGAAGCTTTTTCCAGACTTTCTTGTTATGATCATGTTGTGGGCAGAAGCTAGTTCCCTTCCTTGTCACACTTGGTTCTACAACGAACATAAGCAACGCACCTCTTTAATGTCTATAGGTTTCTCTTCCTTGATCCAATTATCCACTACACCTCCGCCAAGGCTAATTCCGGCTGGATTGATCGCTACGGGACGGGGCCGATTGATCTCAGCTGTCTTCTTCGCAGTATGCGCGCGTGAGGCTGAAAAATTTCGCGATTTTTTATCACAGGAAAAGCAGAATGGCAAATAAAAAATGACGTGCAATAGAACTACAATTCCTGGACGATACGCGTAGGGAGTCATGACTCATATAAGGCTGAGTTTTCATAAAGGAAACTAACTCTGATGCGGATGTCGTGCAGTGCAGAAATTTCATCACATCATACATTCAAAATGACCCTCGTGCACCGACATCGCGACTCCCGATAATCTCCCGCTCTTTTTAACTGTCGGGATTGTCCCGAAAGTCGGGGGGACAAAACCGGGACTCGCGCAAGACTCCCGGTTTTCTCGCGAATTCTCATTTTATGGGCGGATCTCCGGCGGGACTTAACTGCGAATGTCTGAGTATGTCCCGCAAGATTCTATGTCTCGAACTATGGCGGGTAGTGATCCGCTCATCCAAATTGAAAATGAACCCTTAGAAAATGCTGATCGACAATTTCGTGCTCTTCAAAGTGTGTTTTCGAAATCAGCGCGTAGAATTATCTCAGGTAAGCGAAAAAAAAACTCCAGGTCGAGGATTTGCCGAGCCAGCCTTCAAGGTTGCCGTCTATATGGGCATGTCCGAAGATGTGTCTACTGTCTGATTGTTGATAACTCTCTTGTAACGAAGTAACTCGAGGAGTAGGTCTCGTTTTGTAGTGCTGGCTTCAACTCTGATTTACAGTATAGAGCGAAACACTGATTCTTCAATACTCTAGGATTGCGTTAGAAACATCAAACATATGGTGTCACTGTGGGAAAAGCTGCCGTTTCAAGTGTACTAAGGTGTTCATGGACGAGTTCAATATTCAACTATGAAAAGAAATGCGTAGCTTTTCATCTCACTTTTTAGGAGCGAAAAAAACGGCCGCTATTGCTTACTCGTATAACTTTTCAATGGAACATTATGACAAATTGCAAATCAAAAATCAAATCACATCAAAAACATCATGACAAATTATAATTTGGTAATTTGTGCTTTAGTTCAAAGCACAAGTTGCAAAAGAAAGCTGTAAATATGTTTTTTCATCAACCATCTTGAGTCGTGTTTGTTGAGAGTCTTAAAATAAGTGTATCAACCACTATCAAGTTCATTGGTTCTGTCAATGATAATTCTATCCTATCTGTGCGCTGCCTTTTTTAGTTCATCTCTGCATCTAAATCTTTTACGTGACACTGGATACTTGAATAATGGGTGCTCCATCTTTTCTAGTTGGAAATCTGTTAGGTAGTACTTGGGATTACACTCTTTTTCAGCATGATTTAAAATGTTCAGAACGAAATCATTAGGATTATGTCCAATTTAACCAATTATTGAGGACCCTTCTTCTAAAAACTCCTTTTATGTTGATTCATTCTTAGTCTTAGCAAAATTAGGTACTGTTTACATCATATACCATCTTTGAAATTATGTAAACAAAACATGACAAACATCCACCTGTTAGATTTTATGTCTCCACTAGTTGGCTTTCCCGGTCCAGCCCGGGTCATTGCTCACCTGCACTGCAGCCCCCCCTCTCATATGTTATGGATGACTTACCCTGGGACATCCGTTTTAACCGCATCCTTGTGATCCTGAGGTGAAAATAAGCTTTACCGCCTTCCTTTACATCACTATAGGAAAATGCTTGATTCAACATGATAAGCTTTCAACTCCTTAGAAGAACGTAAACAAATCAATAAATCAATAGTAGGACCCAGTCCAGTAAAAGGTAGCCTAAACCCGTCTCCGGGGTCGAAAACATTTGTGTGCCAATTTCAGCCCAATCGGTTGAATGGCGCGCGTTTCCGTAACTCACATACCCTCCAAACAGACAACGTTTGAGTTTTATATATATAGAGAGATTAAATCCCAATGTCAGTGGGTGGAAGAAGGTATGTGTTTATCAAAGGTTTTAAGAATATGAACCCAATTTTTTCCTATTAATGCTTTTAATTGAACACTGAACACACACCAAGGTACAAAGTTGGTATAAATGTAAGAATAAAGGATAAAGATTAGCGTCTGCAATGCCCTTGCGGTCATGAGCCGAGCGCACACTACTTCATAGTCGAAGAGGCAGTTGTATGCGTGCGAGCCTATTACAGACCTAATATGGGCATAAATATTATTATCAGATGTCATCGTAAACTCAATATAGCGCTGATACGTATGATATAATGCCTGCACATGGCCGTAGCGGTATTAATAGATAACTAAGCATTTGATATTATGTCCTGCTTCCACCTACTAGACTTCGTGTATCTTCTAACTCTTATTGTTAGAGGGGTAAAAATGGCGACTTGGTTTACCATCCGGGTAGGGGACTATATGTCACCGAACGTGGGAGGGTCTTGCGGGTTGAGGACATTAGGTCGCAGAATTTGGAAGAGTCCCACGCGGATTGGAACGCATGTCCGCGTATGTACAAAGGTGCGTATTTGTCGCAAATGACCGCGGGGACCGCCCTCTTTCGGCGACCTAGTGTCCTCCACCCGGGTCTCGCGTGGACTTCTTGCCAAAACGCACGAAAAACGTGGCAAGAATGCGTATTTGTTGCAAATGACCGCGGCGGCCGCCCCTTTTCGGCGACATATAATCCTTTACCCGTATTCACTGATGGTATCCACAGATGAAGCGTATGTATGAAGCGTTCGTTGTATGAAGCGCTGAATGCGTGGCCTAGTGTTAATGCAGATGACGCGGACATAATTAGGCGTGTACTCGGTCTTCACATATCTATCTCTTGTGACATTCCAACGTACTCTTTTCCTCAATTTATATATTTGAATATTCCTCCTCATTAAGTAATCACATATTTATATTAGGTTGCCTTCTAAGTTTTTGAGGGCTTCTGAGGGGACTACTGATGAAAGGACGTTAATTTCGGGGCACATGAATTCGCATTACCGATCTACTTTAGCCTCGAAACCAGTGGTCGTATTCATCAACAATTCTGAGGATTAAACCTACTCTCAAGGTTAGGTTTTACCCTGAGTGTTCATTAGCCGTAATCATTAACTTAAGATTTACCCCCTCCCAACCTTCCCGAAAAGCGATTAACCCCGTATTCATCAACGAACCTTGAGCGTAAATCCTTTCTTTGAAGGTAAATTTTACTACAGAGAGCGGCTCGACCGTATTCAGCAACGTGGCTCATCAGAGTAAGCTAAAATCTAGCATAGAACAGATTAGATTCGCTTTGACTTTGTACAAACAGTAAGTGATTACTCGTTGCACCACTCACTTCTTATGTTATTATTTTGACAACAAACACACATCTATAGTCACTACTATCTCAAACTTCTTATGACCTCCTTTCGTGTTTTTACCTAGTGTTATTATCTGTATTATATTCGGCCGGGTCGTTACAGTAAGAGATTTAGGTTTGGATAAAGTACATGCCTAACTAAGGGCTTTGATATGGCGAACATCAAGCTCACAGCTAGGGAAAATTTTTGTGATATGAAACTCCTTCATTCAAATTTTAGTCCACCAATATACAATTTAATACATGATCAAACTATCGTATTTTAACATTAACTCAAAGCTGACCAACAAAATGCTAAAAAAATTATCCTTTTGAATATGACTAGACGAGCTGCAAAGAGGGCTTGGAAAATTTGAGATAATAATAATTATAGGTATGTGTATGTTATCAAAATATTATCGCTAAGATTGAATAAAGCATTGAGAGATCACTTATGTTTTTATGAAATGTCAGAGTAAATTTAACCTGGCTCCATGCTGGGGTTAAATACACCCTGATGAGCCACGTTCATGAATACGGGTTAGTCGCTTTTTGGGGTAAGGTTTACCCTCCGACTCGTTAATGAATACGGGTTCATGCTTTTCGAGGTAAGGTTTACCCTAGGGTAATTAACCCTCAAAGTTAAGCTTATTCTGCGCTTCGTGAGTACCGGATTTATGGTTGATGAATACGGCCATAGTATGCGAAAAGAAAGGATCCTAGTTATTAGAAACGTGATATAACCAACCTTATTACCAACTTACCAACCTATCAACCATCAGCTATCATTCCTAAACGAGTATTATTCTATCATCTTTAAAGGCAGTGAATCGGCAAAACTTAACAATTATTCAGGATTTTGACGCTGCAGATTGCTTATCACTCAAGTAGGAGAACAATCCCGGCCGCAGAACATGCCTTTCCTGCCGAAAAAAATTGCTCTCAAACTTGCACGCGCAAGCCAATCACACACGCGCTCGGACGAGTCGACAATTTTCCTCTCGCCATTGGAGACTGCCCACCATGCTACAACCATTGGGTCCCGCAACGATTAGCGTCTTCAATCTTGCCCCTCGTCCAATTTTAAACGAAGGACATTGGAAAACGGTCGTTTTTGCCATTTTCAGGCTCTCTTAATTGGATTTCCGATATTAGCGCATCGAATAACTCCAGCTAAGAGAAAATTTGACTAAAAAGATTTGCCAAGCCACGGCCTCTAAACAAGTCTTTACTACAGTAAATATGCCTGGCACTTTCTATAGGGTAGCTTCGCTTGTCAAAAAGATGTTCGAAAAAATTGCAAAACAATGAATTTCTTCTGTTCCCCATTTGCTGCACTTGCGTTTGCTTGTGAAGCTTAGTTTTTGACAAATTTTTTTTGCGATTTATCTGTGCAGATTGCCCATATATTAGGTTGTCCCGAAAGTTTTGTCGGTTTCTTTCATCGCTCACTAAAACCCACAGAACACCAATCCATGGACGATCTAGGTACCATTTTATTTATATTTTTATCCTCTTTCTTACAGCTATAATTGCTCTCTGATCTACTATGTCTTTGCGATGTTATCGTCACGCCTTTTCGAGCAGATTTACAGTATTGTCAAACCCTTCCTGAATTTTGAAAAATTTTATTTTGATATTTCTGAGGAGCGTTTGTAACTATTATGTAAAGCGAACCTTTGGCTACATCGTGTATATTTTGAATTACATGGGGAGCGTTTAACAAGTCCGTGATAATAATTTATTTAAGAGAAACCAAGGCATTTTGATTACGTATAATACGTAAAAGTACCGAAAACTCCAAAAAGTGATTTTTGAAAGCAATCAAACTTGGATAGGTTGCATAAATAATGTTTAATAACAAACAAGTACCAATTCGCAAAAATTTTAGAAGCTTTCATGTTTTTGCTGCAGTTGCGTGTTTCATGACTTTGCCAAAAATCGAGACCTTGGAAGAAATGATTTTTTGAAGCTAAAAACAGAAGATTAGGAGAATCTAAAAAAATTACCATGTAGTCCAAGAATTGCTTTATCTGATCCATACTTAAACGTTTCCGAAACTTTGAAATAAAATTTGTGAAAATAAGCCGAACTTTGAGCAGATAAAAATGACGGGAGAAAAATTTTAGCAATTATCGAAAAAGAATGCAAAATTATGGCTAGAGGATGTAACCATAATAAAGAGAAGGAAAAGCTGCATCCGCAGAAGATGCATGTTGAAACTCATTCAGGTCTTTATTGTGCGCGGTTTTATAGCGATTTGAAGAAACCGACAAAACTTTCGGGACAACCTAATAAATATTTTGACGTCAAAATTAAAATGTGACTTCTAGTTCTAATTTTCTTCCCTGACCTACCTCTCCGTGTGTGAAGGCTATTGATTGCAATTGCCATTGCATCACCGTATCACCACCTACCAGTAAACTTTTTTTTACTGTTGTACGTCCAACAAGGAAATGATGGTTAGTCAAAGTAGCCTTTTGAGATAAGGTGTAAGTTGATTTGATAGGCCTAAAAAGTTGGTTTCAGATCTGTCCTCCTTATCCGCGGAGCTTACGTGGGAGAGAATTTATGGGCGTTTGTTGAAGCAGAAAATGTACATGCAAGTAGGATAAGACTTTTGAAAAGAAAAAATTTTTTTCAGTACTCAAATGAAAACAGGAATAATTAACTGATAAGGAAAGCGTCTTTAGGCGGAGTGGCCTTTTCGAATGATTTCTATACCACTTTGAAGAGCATTAAACGCAGATTTGAAATCTGTTCTCGCTATCTGCCAAGCGCCCCTGGGAGCCGAGTTATGAGTGCCTTTTGGAACAAAAAATGAACGCAGAATCTATGCAAAACAGTAATTACGATATTTCCTGAGCTCAAATAGAGCGCTGTTGAGTATAAGAGTATCAGACAAAAGGTGTTGATTAAATGGAGTGCTCTGATGATAAACACCTGGGTCTGTAGTAATCTGGTCGAAACTCCGAGTTTGGAGCTCCGCGTTAACTCAGAGATAACTCTGAGTTCCGTTTCTGAAACTCTGAGTTACGCTTATTGAAACTCTGAGTTCCGCTTTCGTAATTCCGAATTCCAACTCTCAAGCTCGGAGTTTTGCTTTGAGGAGCTGTTGCGCACTTTGCTGCAAAAGCGACGTTAAAGTAGGGACTCGAACCTGTATGGTCTAGCATAAAGATCCTCTCACTAAACCGCTAGACCATGACACACCCACGAACCCTAAAATTGCTTTGCCATAATGTACTCACTCATTCCATTAACACTTAGCAGGTCAAAACAAGTTATACCAAAGCCTCACTCATTTCCATTTCTATCGGGCAATGATGGTTCATCACGAGGATTGGTCTTTTGCGCAGCTGAAAGCTTCAAACAATAGAGAAAGCGGATGGCATACGCAATGACAAGAATTGACTATTAGGATTTGCGCACAGAATAAATCCTCCGGGCAAAGTTTGCATTTCCATGATTTCGTCTTACTTACCGTATACCTACCGTAACCTTCCATATGTCACCAGTGTATGTAGCAGATAGATTGTCCGTAATCTGCATCCCGAATAACTCCAGTGTACCAAATTTCGGCTAGTTCCGCCGCTTTAATTCATCTACCGTAAACCTACCGTAACCTCGTCAGATGACACTGCAGTATAATCTGCATGTCATATTCGTTATCGGTGCCCCGAATAGACCCAGTGTACCAAGTTTCGATCAGTTTCGTGATTTTCTCCCATCTACCGTAAACCTACCGTAACACCTCTACATGACCCCTTAGTAAAAAATGGGTACCATATGCGTGATTAGCGCACCGAATAACCCCCTGGGCCAAGTTTTTACAAAATTTCAAAATTTTGTAAATTACTGCGCATCACGATACCCCCATCATGCCTGCTTAAACTACGAGCAAAATGTACCCCGGAGGACTTTTTAGCTGCCCCTCTTCTTTTGCGCACTATTTCTCTTTCTCTGACCAAACTCAGAGTTATCTCTGAGTTCCACGATAGACTGGAACTCGCACCAAACTCAGAGTTATCGCAGACACTAGTTGCGCGTTTGGTGGCGCTGTTTCTTGTGCAGGACAATTTGGACAATGTTGCGCTACTAGGAATAAACTACGTGTTAAGGAGAATCCTGCCATATCATCGCTTTCCGGATATGATCTGTTCAAACACCTGTTAAGGGGGTCAAAAAGTTGCGCGTTAGCTCAGAGATAACTCAGAGTTAACTCTGAGTTATAACTCTGAGTTTCGATAGGTTTACTACCGACCCTGACCATTTGAGCAGTCTTGTACGACTTTCTTCCAGTTGTGCATTTAGTTTTTCGACTTAAAAAAACGCCCATAACTAGGCCTCCAGAGGCGATTGTTAGATATGAAAGACGGATTTGTAATCACCGTTCAAAGCTCCACAAGGTGATGTAAGTAGTGCCATGTGGAAAGACTACTTTGACTGAAGACGTTTTC